ATAATATATATATATATATATATATATATATATATATATATTTTGTAACTTCTTTTGCATTATCAAATATTTTAAAATTTGAAAATTATAATACATGATGATAAATTTTATTGATCTAGAGCAATTTTGAAAACAATACAATTTGTATTATGAGCCCCACCTTAACTTGAATATAAAATGATATGTTTCAATGGGAATCCTTCTTAAATGCATGCAAGCATAAAAAATTAAAAACTAATTCCGAGTCGGAAATTTCAATCAGATTAAATCGACTGTTTACTTCGTACTCCCTCGTTTTTTTTTCTTATAGTGATTTTGGGACTATTTTTTTATTGTTATTTTCTAATTTTTTTTTCATTTTTATCTTTAATAATTAATGTATATTTATTAAATAATATATTTATTTATTTTTAATATATCTATTTTTTTAACCACCTAAATGATATAATAGAAAAATAAATAATAAATATTTAAAAATTAAAATATCAATATTTTTTAAAATTTTTATATATTAATCTTAAACATCAAATAAAAAAAATATGGAGGGGTTATTCTAATACCTAGATTATGCTTACGTTTCAAATTTCAATGCCATTTTTTTTAAGTTAAAAGTCTTTTTTATCGATGTCGGCCATAGTGATTACTCTTGCACTAATTTCAATATTCAGAGTGGCCACGCACGCATATATGCTTGTGGCCACATGCATAAATGAAGTTTTCCAAGAAGTATGACTACCTTGATTTAATAAAGAAATAATGTTACTCATATAAGCTCTTTATTTGCATATTTTTAATAATTTTTTCTTTAAATAGTAGTTACTAAATATCATATTATTTAAATATAGATAAATATTAAAATATGATAATTAATAAATGTTTATTTAATAAAGAATAATGAAATTTCATAATTTTATAATTAGGGAAACTAATTATTTATATTTTAAGGATTAACGAGAATAAAAAATTAAAAATATAATTTAACCAATATGTGCATGAATTAGGATATATATCAAATATCTAACAACATTCTGAAGAGATAATGCTATCTTTCAAATCAAATGATATTATATTGATATATATTTTTACTAATTATATTTTTAGGAATATTATTATCGAGCACATGGATCATATAATATGTGACACCCTCTACTCTAACATTAATACACAATAAATGTAAACAATAATTTTTTTTCTTTTTCTTTTTGAGTAAATAAAATCTTTCATAGTTGACAACCTCTTTCATGGATAAAATAATTGTCTCAATTATCATAAGGTAGAAAATTCACATTCGTAACTCATAAATTATAAAAAGGTCAACACCTAAGCTTCATTAGTATAGGGTTTATTTTATTTGCTAATTTTAGCCTTGTATTTTGGGGTGTTTAGGACTTAGAATTTATTTTCTTTTGTATTTCTCATTTTACCCTTGTATTATGGGGTGCTTTAGATCATAGGGTTTAATTTTGGGCTAGGGTTTTTATTAGGAGAGCTAGACGTATTTTTGTGGCTATTGGACCTATTTTTGGTGTTAGAAAGGCTTAGGCCCAAGTGGAGGACAAAGGTTGCATGGTCTTATTATGTACCTAGATGTAGCCTACCTAATCCCAAAGATTCCATCCTTGGCCACCAAGTTGCATCTAGGGTTAATTTGCATTTCATTTGGTGTGCATTTGTTCATTATTCGGGTAATATATCAGGTCTTTTGGTGCCTCATCTATCCTAAGGCGCGGGTAGCACCTTATACTAGTATTATCCCCTCTGTTGGCGCATGTCTATTTTGGTTGTAACCCGTACCTTTAATTTTTTGTCATAGGACCCTTTCAACCATGACATTGGTACGAGCCAGACCGCATTGAGTGCAAAGACTCCCAACTAAATGGCTAGTATCCCTACTATGTTGAGTAGGGTCGTTAACCCATATTATTCCCTAAAGGTAAGAGTGTATTGTATATGACTTTTTTAAAAGTGCACTACATAGTATCGCCACCCTTATAGGAATAAAATATAATAAATAGAAATATAAATATAAAGACAAAAATTAATTAAGTGGCTAGTGTTTATGCCTATTTATATCTAAGAGGACCCTATCTTCGGTCTCAGCAAGTATGCTATAAGATATAACAATGAGGAATGCACCTTCCCATTCGGAGGCAGGGCCAGTCATTCAGATTTGGTTCAGCTGTTAACCACAACTAACATGACTTAACCAAGTTAGATGGCCTCAAATCAGGTATGACTATAGGTACGTTCCAGCCAAAAATGTTAATAATCTACTATAGACATTTTTGCTAAGACACTAATATTTATCATAGAGTAGTTTAGTAGTTATTATATATCCAATACTATGACACCAATATTTATACGAGAGTTGTTATTATATATCCAATAATATGATATTGGTAAATTATCATTGTCACCTAATTTGCTAGGGAAGGTTTTCACTAGCAAATTATCATTGCCATATGGCGACTCCCTTTTCTTTTTAGAAAATATATACATTTTTTGTTCATATTCCTCATGGTTCCTGCCCACAACCATGAGGACAAAACACAATAAGGGCTTGTAAATTTTTAATCATGAATAAACATGCCATTATCACATAATTCTATATGTTTACTAAAGTCCTTCCTTTGCTTGGGTTTTACACTTGTTTCCAAAAATGGATTAGCAAAAATTTTAGGAGTATCCTTTTAATGTCTTGTGATAGCTTAATGAGATAACAACTTGAGTGATTTTTAAAAATTTTAATGTGCAAATGTCCAGCAGTAAAATGTGCACATAAAAATCACTCTCATGCTCAAATCATCAAACAATATATAGGCATATCAAGTGCACAAGGGAATACACAAAATGGCCAAAAATTTTAAGCAAGTATGATGGGGACCTCCCTTCCATGGTTGATAATGGCATCTTGAAGAAAGGTTACCTTGCCCAAGGTTTAGGCTCACCAAAGGTTAGAAGATGGAAAATGGTTGGAGATGTTTAAGGTGGGAAGGTTTTGGACGTGAAAATGATGGTGGTTTAGGCGGAATGTGTGGGTTTCTCAAGGTGGGTTGGCTCACTCCAAAGGTAGATGGAGGCCACTCTAGGTTTCTCACTCTCCAATGGTGGAGATAGGAGAAGGTTAGCCAAAGATAACCTAGTGACTAAGGAAGAGATGTTGAGGCAAAAATGCTCACTCAATATCATATAATCCAAAGTATGCATATTACAACTGTCGGTGACCCTAAGGTACACCTTATTAATATATTACAACTGTCGGTGACCCTAAGGTACACCTTGTTAGCATCACTGGTATGCGGCCTCAACGGCACACCTAGAGTAATATATGCATATGATGTATGTCATACATTCATTATTTCATGGACTTCAACATTTGACTTATTACAAAATTTCATTTAGTACATCATGTCATTATTTTCATATTCTCATAGTCACAAGTTGTCTCAATAGTCTATGTCTCAATAGTCCATTCACATGTCATTTGTGCATATTTCACATGGTCATGTCATAAATACTCCTCATAAGGTCCGCACAGGAATTCACAGAGATTCACAGAAAGCATTCTTATTCATATTAAAACTCATTTATTTTTTTAACATAATTTCATATTCATCATTACTTCCAACAAGGAACAAAGTAGAGCAAATAGAAAGTAAAATAGAATAACAAGCAAGGGATTGGGGACCAATCCGACAATCAAACTATCCAACAATTATCCCCACACCCCCGAGCGAGGTTTCTCACTCCCCCCTTACCTGGATAAGCAGGAGTTGAAACTTGGGCAGGGTCTCCTCTTCTGGATTCCCTCTTTCTTTCCCTCTCTTTCTTTCTCTTTCTCTCTCTTTCTTTCTCTTTCTCTCTCTCTCTCTTTCTCTCTCTTCCTCTCTCTCTCTCTAAGATTTTCACCTTCTCACTAAGTTATAAATTTTTTCACCTCCTATGCCCTATTTATAGGCATCCTGGCACACCCGGAACGGCCCGTACTGATTTCGGAACGGCCTGTTCCGGATCCTTCAAACATATGCAAAATTCTCAACTGGAACGGCCCGTTTCAAAAAGCAGAACGACCCGTTCTAAAATTAGAACGGCCCGTTCTGAAGTTCATTTTACACACATTGACCTTTAATGGAACGCCCCTTTTCTAACTAACCTTTTTAGACATTTTTAGAATTCCGGAACGGTCTGTTTCCCTTAGGGTGTAACACCCAAATTTTTATTATTATTTTAATGGCATTTTCGTAATTTTAATAAAGTTATAGGGGTATTTTGGGTTCTGGAACGGGCCGTTCCAAAAGTGGAACGGGCCGTTCCAAATGTTGAAAATGTGAGGTTTTTGTAGTCCCAGAACGGCCTTGGAACGGGCCGTTCCGGTATGGAGAACGGGCCGTTCCGGAAGGAGAACGGGCCGTTCTTCTGAGATTGAGAACGGGCCGTTCTGATTTCAGAACGGGCCGTTCTGGTTTTTTGGGAACGGGCCGTTTCGATTTTGGAACGGGCCGTTCCAGTTACAAATTTTGCCCAGATTTGAAGGATCCGGAACGGGCCGTTCCGAAATCAGTACGGGCCGTTCCGGGTGCGTCAGATTGCCTATAAATAGGGGCAGGGGGTGAAAATTTTTATACAGAGGAAGAAAGTGAAATTTTAGAGAGAGAAAGAGAAGAGAGAGAGAGAGAGAGAGAGAGAAAGAGAAAGAAAGAGAGAGAGAAAGGAAGAGGGAATCCAGAGGAGGAGGCTCTGCCTAAGTTCAGCTCCGCTTATCCAGGTAAGGGGGGGAGTGAGAACCTCGCTCAGGGGTGTAGGGATAATTGTTGGATAGTTGTTTGTCGGATTGGCCCCCAATCCTTTGTCGTTATTCTGTTTAATTTCTATTTACTCTACTTTGCTTTTTTGTTGGAGGTGCCGTTGTTCTGTCTAAATTTCTATTTACTCTACTTTGCTTTTTGTTGAAGGTGCCGTTGTTCTGTCCGATTTTCTATTTATTCTACTTTGTTTTTGTTGAAAGTGCCGTTGTTCTGTCTGATTTTCTATTTACTCTACCTTGTTCTTTGTTGAAAGTAATAAATGAATATGAAATTAATGTTAATAATAAATGAGTTTTAATATGAATAAGAATGCTCTCTGGATCTCTGTGAATACCTATGCGGACCTTAAGAGGAGTATTGATGACATGACCATGTGAAATATGGACAAATGACATGAGACCTAAGAATTGACTATTGAGACAAACTATGATTATGAGACTATGACAAATGAGGACATGATGTACTAAATGAAATCATGTAAAAAGTTAAATATTGAGTCAATGAGATTATGATGGTATGACATGCATCATATGCATATATTATTCCAGGTGTGCCGCTGAGGCCGCATACCAGTGATGTAACATGCTAACAAGGTGTATCTTAGGGTCACCAGTGATGTAACTTGTAACCAGGTGTACCTTAGGGTCACCAGTGATGTAACCAGGTGTACCTTTGGGTCACCAGTGATGTAACCAGGTGTGCCTTAGGGTCACCAGTGATGATATGTGAAACTTCCTTATGGCGCCACATGCATGCATTTATAAGTCAAGATCATGACATCATTGCATGATAAATGAATATATATGTGATATTGATGATGTATGTGTATTATTTATAAGTGACTTATATTTGTTGTGTGTGTGAGTGCTATCTAGCCTTTATTTCTGCACCTGTAACTGAGTGAGATGTTTCTCACTCCCTTGTTGTTTTTGTATATGTTTAAATTATGTTGCAGGTGATCAGCATCATGAGGATGTTGGTGATGAGGCTTAAAGGCTTCAATTGGGCATGCTCTGATAGGATGTGACATCGGGGCATAGTTATTTTAGTTTAATATGTTATTGTTTTTATAACTTTAGTTTCTCTTCTTTTGTAATTTCTAACGAAGAAATAACGTAGATAACATATATAATTCAAGGAAAATATATGTTAAGAATTGTAATTTGAACGTTCTTGATAAAAGACCAAGATGTACATTTTTGTTATATTTTTTATTATATGATTTGGGAGTATAAATTAATTCCTAACCAGGAGGCACTGCCACCTTTACTGGAGTTAATTTATATTTCCTTTATTATTATTTGTATATATATGATTTCTTGTTTTACACTAAATTGTATTGAAAATCTTAACTTCTTTTCTTTTATAATTTTTACACTGGAGTTATGATTTATGAGTTACGAATGTGAATCTTCTACCTTGTGATATTTGAAATATTTGTCAACTATGAAAGATTTTATTTACCCAAAAAGAAGATAAGAAATATTTTATTGTTACATTTGTTGTATATTAATAACGGGGTAGAGGGTGTCACATTTAGTGGTATCAGAGCAGGTCGATCTAATCGACCGTGAGTTATGAGTTTACTATGCTTATTTGGTTTACTATGTTTATTTGGTACATGAATGATGGACTGAATTGATTGTAAAACTTGTTGGTATGATAGTATGATGATTGATTATGTTTATTGATTGTATTATTTTCTTAGACTATGGCTGGTAGAAATGATCGTGCGATTGCCGATGCTCTTCAAGCATTAGCACAAGCTATGAATAATAACAATAGGACTGAGGTCGCTCCTAACTGGTTGGAGCAATTTCAACGAAATCACCCACCTACCTTTAAAGGAGGATATGACCCAGATGCTGCTATGAATTGGCTAACAGAAATAGAAAAAATTTTCAATGTTATGGATTGTCCCATCGCTCAGAAGGTGAAGTTGGCCACATTCATGTTGACTGCTGATGCTCACTTTTGGTGGGAAGGAGCACTTCGGAGGATGATTGATGGAGGGGTGCACTTGAATTGGGACAACTTCAAGAAGGTCTTTCTTGAGAAGTATTTCCCGGATGATGTGAGAAGTCGGAAAGAAATGGAATTCCTTGAGCTGAATCAAGGGAACGACACAGTGGCTGTGTATGCTGCCAAATTTGATGCTTTGGTTCGTTATTGCACACACTACCATGGTGAGGGTGGTGAAAGAGCTAAATGCATAAAATTTGTAAATGGTCTGCGTCCTGAAGTGAAAACTGCAATTAACTATCAGGAGATATATCACTTTCCCACTCTGGTCAATAAGTGCAGCATTTATGATCATGACAACCGTGCTCGTGCTGCTTTTTATAAAGGAGTTGGAGGTCCTATCCGTGCTGTGAGTTCTAGTACTTCGGGAAGGAGTAAGCCTTACTTCGCTTCTAATAGATTTCAAGGGAGTAAAGCTGCTGCTAATAAAAGTAAGTTGTTTACTAGAGGATCCACTGTTAGTGCTACTGGAAGTGTTGGAGGGTCTGTGTCCACTCCTTCAGTAAGATGCTGGAAGTGTGGACTTGTTGGTCATAATCAGTCTGAGTGTCGTGACAGGGAAGTTACCTGCTTCAACTGCAATGGTAAAGGTCACATCAGTACCCAATGTCCTGAATCACAAAGAACACGTGTTATGGGATCGGGTTCGCAAACTGAGCGTCCAAAGACTGTGGGGAGAGTATTTGCTCTTAGTGGTGCTGAAGCTTCTCGGTCAGAAAATTTGATACAAGGTACTTGTTTCATAGCTGAGACTCCTTTTGTTGTACTATTTGATTCTGGTGCAACTCATTCCTTTATTTCTGTCTCTTGTGTCCAAAAATTGAATTTGCCTGTGTCTTTGTTAGATTTTGATTTAGTTGTGGAAACCCCTACTAATGGTCCTGTGACTACATCCCTAGTGTGTTTGAAATGTCCTTTGACAGTTTCTGATAAGCAGTTTCTAGTTGACTTAATTTGTTTGCCTCTTAGTCAATTAGATGTAATTCTTGGCATGGATTGGTTATCTTCTCACCATGTCCTTTTAAACTGCTTTGAGAAATCTATTTCCTTTGGTGAATGTAAGAGTACGGAATTTCTTAGTGCTGCTGACATTAAAACTTGTTTAAAAGACAATGAAAAAGTGTACATGATCTTAGCTTCTTTAACACTTGAGACTGATAGTAAGCTAGATGAGATTCCCTTAGTGAGAGAATTTCCAGAAGTATTTCCTAAGGATGTGTCTAGTTTACCACCTGAGAGAGAGATTGAGTTTAGCATAGACTTAGTACCAGGTACCCCACCTATATCTATAGCACCCTATAGGATGTCCCCTACAGAGTTAGTTGAGCTTAAGAAACAAATAGAGGAATTACAAGGAAAACAATTCATTAGGCCTAGTGTCTCGCCTTGGGGAGCGCCTGTTTTGTTGGTTAAGAAGAAAGATGGGAGCATGAGGTTGTGCGTAGACTATAGGCAACTGAATAAAGTGACCATTAAGAATAAGTATCCTTTGCCTAGGATAGATGACCTTATGGATCAACTAGTTGGAGCTTGTGTGTTCAGTAAGATAGATTTAAGGTCAGGATACCATCAGATTAGAGTGAGAGCTGAGGATGTTCCTAAGACTGCCTTTAGAACCCGCTATGGGCACTATGAGTATTTAGTTATGCCTTTTGGTGTGACTAATGCACCTGGTGTTTTTATGGACTACATGAATAGGATCTTTCACCCTTACTTGGATAGATTTGTAGTGGTCTTCATAGATGATATCCTAGTGTATTCCAAGACTAGGGAAGAGCATGTTGAGCACCTTAGGATCGTTCTTCAAACCCTTAAGGAGAAACAGTTGTATGCTAAATTGTCAAAATGTGAATTTTGGTTGGATAGTGTGAACTTTCTAGGACATGTGATATCCAAGGGTGGAATAGCTGTAGATCCTGCTAAGGTAGAAGCTGTGTTAGAGTGGAGAACACCTAAATCAGTATTTGAGATTAGGAGTTTCCTAGGACTAGCTGGTTATTACAGAAGGTTCATAGAGAATTTCTCTAGGCTAGCTCTTCCTTTGACTAAGCTGACGAAGAAAGACCAACCTTTTGTGTGGGATTCTAGGTGTGAGGAAAGTTTTCAAGAGCTTAAGAGGAGATTAACTAGTGCTCCTGTGTTAGTGTTACCTGATCCTAGTAAGACTTTTGAGGTATTTTGTGATGCTTCTAAATTGGGTTTAGGAGGAGTGCTTATGCAGGAGGGTAAGGTAGTAGCCTATGCTTCAAGACAACTTAAAATTCATGAGCAAAACTATCCTACCCATGACCTTGAGTTAGCTGCAATAGTTTTTGTGCTCAAGTTGTGGAGACATTACTTGTTTGGGTCTAGATTTGAGGTTTTTAGTGACCATAAAAGCCTTAAGTACTTGTTTGACCAAAAGGAATTGAATATGAGGCAGAGGAGATGGTTAGAGTTTCTTAAGGATTATGACTTTCAATTGAATTATCACCCTGGCAAGGCTAATGTTGTAGCTGATGCTTTGAGTAGAAAATCTTTGAGAATGTCTTCCTTGATGATTAGGGAAATGCAAATGATTGAGGAGTTTAGGGATATGAGCTTAGGGTGTGAGTTGACCTCTAAGAGTATTAAGTTGGGAGCTTTAAGAGTGACTAATAGCTTGATAGATGAGATTAGAGAAGGTCAGAAGATGGATCCTTTCTTATTGAGTCGGGTAGAGAAGTTGAATCAAGGTGTGAAAAGTGAGTTTAGAATTGGAGTGGATGGAGTTTTAAGATTTAAGGATAGGTTGTGCATTCCTAGTGTGCCAGAACTTAAGAGAGCAATCCTGGAAGAAGGTCATAAGAGTATCCTTAGTATCCATCCAGGAGCCACTAAGATGTACCAAGACCTTAAGAAGATGTTTTGGTGGCCTAAGATGAAGAGGGAAGTGGAGGAATTTGTGTATGCTTGCTTAGTATGTCAGAAAGCTAAGGTAGAACACCAAAAACCTTCAGGTTTGATGCAACCTTTAGATGTGCCTGTGTGGAAGTGGGATAGCATCTCTATGGATTTTGTAGTTGGGTTACCTAAGACTGTGAAGAACTTGGATGCTATATGGGTCATTGTGGATAGATTGACTAAGTCTGCCCATTTTATTCCCATTAATATTAGGTACTCTTTGGAGAGGTTAACCAAGTTGTACATCAGTGAGATCGTGAGGTTGCATGGAGTTCCTACTAGTATTGTGTCTGATAGAGATCCTAGGTTCACCTCTAGATTTTGGGAGAGTTTGCATAAGGCTTTAGGCACTAAGCTTAGATTGAGTTCAGCTTACCATCCCCAAACAGATGGCCAAACTGAGAGAACCATACAATCTTTGGAAGACTTGTTGAGGGCTTGCATCTTAGAACGTGGGGGTAGTTGGGATAGTTTCCTACCTTTGATAGAATTTACCTACAATAATAGCTACCATTCTAGTATTGGGATGGCACCATATGAGGCTCTGTATGGTAGGAGATGTAGAACACCTTTATGTTGGGTAGAACCTGGAGAGAATGTCATGTTAGGACCTGAGATAGTTCAACAAACTACTGAACAGGTTAAGATGATCCAAGAGAAGATGAGAGCAACTCAGAGTAGGCAAAAGAGTTATAATGACAAGAGGAGAAAAGACCTTAAGTTTAAAGAAGGTGATCATGTATTCCTTAAAGTCACTCCTTGGACAGGAGTAGGCAGAGCACTGAAATCCCGTAAGCTTACTCCACGTTTCATTGGTCCTTATCAAATTCTTAAAAGAATCGGTGAAGTGGCCTATCAAATTGCTTTGCCTCCATCTCTTTCAAATCTCCATAGTGTCTTTCATGTTTCCCAACTCAGAAAGTATGTCCATGATCCTTCCCATATCATTGAGTCTGACAACATTCAGTTGAAGGATAATCTTACTTATGAAACGGTTCCTCTAAGGATTGATGACACGAGAGTGAAACAACTAAGAGGAAAGGAAATCCCTTTGGTTAAGGTCGTTTGGGGAGGAAATATTGAAGAAAGTGCTACATGGGAATTAGAAAGCAAGATGCGAGAAGCTCATCCATTTCTGTTTTCAGGTAAATTTCGGGGACGAAATTTCTAAAAGGAGGGGAGAATTGTAACACCCAAATTTTTATTATTATTATTTTTGTTAATGGCATTTTCGTAATTTTAATAAAGTTATAGGGATATTTTGGGTTTCGGAACGGGCCGTTCCAAAAGTGGAACGGGCCGTTCCAAATGTTGAAAATGTGAGGTTTTTGTAGTCCCAGAACGGCCCTGGAACGGGCCGTTCCGGTATGGAGAACGGGCCGTTCCGGAAGGAGAACGGGCCGTTCTTCTGAGATTGAGAACGGGCCGTTCTGGTTTCAGAACGGGCCGTTCTGGTTTTTTGGGAACGGGCCGTTTCGATTTTGGAACGGGCCGTTCCAGTTACAAATTTTGCCCAGATTTGAAGGATCCGGAACGGGCCGTTCCGAAATCAGTACGGGCCGTTCCGGGTGCGTCAGATTGCCTATAAATAGGGGCAGGGGGGTGAAATTTTTTATACAGAGGAAGAAAGTGAAATTTTAGAGAGAGAAAGAGAAGAGAGAGAGAGAGAGAGAGAGAGAGAGAGAGAGAAAGAAAGAGAGAGAGAGAGAGAGAGAAAGGAAGAGGGAATCCAGAGGAGGAGGCTCTGCCTAAGTTCCGCTCCGCTTATCCAGGTAAGGGGGGGAGTGAGAACCTCGCTCAGGGGTGTGGGGATAATTGTTGGATAGTTGTTTGTCGGATTGGCCCCCAATCCTTTGTCGTTGTTCTGTTTAATTTTCTATTTACTCTACTTTGTTTTTGTTGAAGGTGCCGTTGTTCTGTCCGATTTTCTATTTATTCTACTTTGTTCTTGTTGAAAGTGCCGTTGTTCTGTCTGATTTTCTATTTACTCTACCTTGTTCTTTGTTGAAAGTAATAAATGAATATGAAATTAATGTTAATAATAAATGAGTTTTAATATGAACAAGAATGCTCTCTGGATCTCTGTGAATACCTATGCGGACCTTAAGAGGAGTATTGATGACATGACCATGTGAAATATGGACAAATGACATGAGACCTAAGAATTGACTATTGAGACAAACTATGATTATGAGACTATGACAAATGAGGACATGATGTACTAAATGAAATCATGTAAAAAGTTAAATATTGAGTCAATGAGATTATGATGGTATGACATGCATCATATGCATATATTATTCCAGGTGTGCCGCTGAGGCCGCATACCAGTGATGTAACATGCTAACAAGGTGTATCTTAGGGTCACCAGTGATGTAACTTGTAACCAGGTGTACCTTAGGGTCACCAGTGATGTAACCAGGTGTACCTTTGGGTCACCAGTGATGTAACCAGGTGTGCCTTAGGGTCACCAGTGATGATATGTGAAACTTCCTTATGGCGCCACATGCATGCATTTATAAGTCAAGATCATGACATCATTGCATGATAAATGAATATATATGTGATATTGATGATGTATGTGTATTATTTATAAGTGACTTATATTTGTTGTGTGTGTGAGTGCTATCTAGCCTTTATTTCTGCACCTGAAACTGAGTGAGATGTTTCTCACTCCCTTGTTGTTTTTGTATATGTTTAAATTATGTTGCAGGTGATCAGCATCATGAGGATGTTGGTGATGAGGCTTAAAGGCTTCAATTGGGCATGCTCTGATAGGATGTGACATCGGGGCATAGTTATTTTAGTTTAATATGTTATTGTTTTTATAACTTTAGTTTCTCTTCTTTTGTAATTTCTAACGAAGAAATAACGTAGATAACATATATAATTCAAGGAAAATATATGTTAAGAATTGTAATTTGAACGTTCTTGATAAAAGACCAAGATGTACATTTTTGTTATATTTTTTATTATATGATTTGGGAGTATAAATTAATTCCTAACCAGGAGGCACTGCCACCTTTACTGGAGTTAATTTATATTTCCTTTATTATTATTTGTATATATATGATTTCTTGTTTTACACTAAATTGTATTGAAAATCTTAACTTCTTTTCTTTTATAATTTTTACACTGGAGTTATGATTTATGAGTTACGAATGTGAATCTTCTACCTTGTTATATTTGAAATATTTGTCAACTATGAAAGATTTTATTTACCCAAAAAGAAGATAAGAAATATTTTATTGTTACATTTGTTGTATATTAATAACGGGGTAGAGGGTGTCACATTTGGAACGGCCCGTTCTGGAGAAATCAAAATGAGTCTTTTTACTACATTGGAACGGCCTATTCTGCCACTTCAAAATCAGTATATTTTCATTGTTTGGAACAGTCCGTTCCAACCTAAAGAAACAGAATTTCTTTAAATTATTAAAAACCTTTATAATATTCTATAAAATCCTTTAACTAACTAAAATAACTATAAGAAAAATAATCTTCATAAATAGATAATAATTGATATTGTAATAGTAAAAATTCCAATATAAAAATTTTCTAACTTTTCCGATAATCTAAAATACAAATCTTAGATGTATAATTATGTTAATCATTCATAGGAAGAATTTTGTTGATTATATATATAGTACAATTCTATCTAACTCAAACATAATTTACATTCAAATAAAAAATACACCTTTACCTTCAATGAAAAATACACCAGGTACAGACAAAAAAATATTCTTAGAGATATTATATCTAAAAGTATTATTCTCGGAATTTAGTAATTTCATAGAAGAATCAAACATAATTACTTTCATTGAAAAATATACTTGGTATAGACAAAAAAAGATTCCTAAGAATATTATATCTAAAAATATTATTCTTGGAATTTAGTAATTTCATAAAAAAAAGTTATTTAATTAAGAAATATAAATAAAAGAAGGAATATAGAAGAATAAAGTAATTGGTAGTCATGGAAGAAAACAATTTTTATTCTCATATATATATAAATACAAGATATTTTTTTTTACGCTGAAAATAAGAAATGAAATAAATATGAATGCTTTTTATTCTTAAAATTCAATAATATCTAAGAATATTTTTCAAAAATTATTCTGATGCCATACGCAATATGTACCACAATGTTTGGCAGCTAGTTACTGTTAGGGCTACCTAATGCACAATGCATTGCGTGTTATCCGACGCACCTAAGTGACACATTCCTATCCTTAATGTTCTATTTAGGAAAGGAAAGAAATAAATAAGAAATAAAATAAAGAAAAACAAAAAATAAAAAATAAAGTAAAGAAAAATAAAAAAATAAAAAAAATATGTAAGAAATAAAATAAAAATTTATTTATTTGATTAAAGAAAAATAAGTGAGAAATATGTATAAAAAAAATAAATAAAAGAAGAAGAAGATGATATATATAAGAGAAAGAAGAGAGAAATAAATAAATAAAAAGATAGAATCTATTACTTTTTAATTTTTCTCATCTCTATTTCTCTTCAAGCAAAGAATCTCTCTCATTTATACTCTTTTATTTCCATCATCTCCACCCTATTTCTTCTCTACTAAACACAAGCTAAATTAAAATTATCATTCGAGATTAGTATCAGTGATACATATAGTTAAATTTATCTATTTGTATTAGTTAATACTTGAGATCAATTTTTTTTTATTTTATATTTTTTCATACAAATTTATATTGAAGATGAAATAAGTTATCTATAATTTTATTAAAAATTTTAAAAAGAAATTGATAGATACCTTTGACTTTGGCATACAGTTTTATCCTAATTTAAAGTTTTTATTAAAAATTAATTAAATTCTATGAATTTCATTTTTGACGGTTTTGTGTAGGTTTGGTGTGAACAATGGGAAAAAATATACATGGCATTAAGAATGTAGTTTCTTACCATTTCTTTAACAAAATTTTTTGGTATTTAGGGGAGGTCATATTAAACAAGAGGTACTTAAGGAATTCTAAATAATATATTCTATAGGGAAAAAAAAAGAAAGATATTTTATCAAAGAGTTTTAATTTTATTTAGATAGCATTTAACTTAACTTTTAAGAACGAAAGTTTTTAAATGAAGTATAATTTTGAAAAGTTCTAAAACAAAATAGGTTAAAATGCTATTTTAGTCCTATAATTTCATTTATTTTACTTTTTAGTCTTCATAGTTGAAATTAATTTTTATACTTATGTTTTTTAATATTTTTTAGTTCATGTAATTTTGTATAAAACTTTTTAGTTTCTACACTTACAATTTTTTAATCCTTTTATTATTGTTAATTTTTGTAATATTGTGTGTTTGTATTGGCATGTAAAAACAAGGTGTTCAACAATGAGCCTTATGTGTTTTTAATCCCTTTTAGAGGTATTCAATTTTGTAAGAATAAAAGAAGATGTATCCCAACAACAAATCTTGCATGTGAAGGTTTAAAAGAGGTATAAAGCATCAAGAAATTTAATTTAGAGTAATTATGACAAAAATAAATTTAACATAAGACACATAATTAAATTAATACCTTGATTATATCAATACAAAATAGACAATGTTGCTAACAAAATTTACCGACATGAACTAAAAGATTAAAAAACTGTAATTATAGAGACTTGATAAATTTGTCTTAAACTATAAAAACTAAAAAGGATTAAAAAATAATAAGTATAGAGACAAAATATATTTATTTTAAATTATAATAGACTAAAATAAAATAATAAAAAATATAAGAAATAAAAAAGTAAAAGTTTGATTTTAGTTATGATCTTACTATTAGAGGATTAATGTCTCTCGAATTTGAGCCTTTTATTTCTTTTGCAAATTTGATTATAATTATGGATGACAAAAAAATTTATACCCGGCTCACATATATTTGTAAATAAAATTTAGGCTTAAATATGTTTTTAGTCTCTCAAATTTAAGACAAATTTGTTTTTGGTCCCTCAAATTTAAAATTGTTGTTTTTAGTCCCTGTAATTTTTAAAAGTCTTTTTTTAATCTAATTAAGACAGTTATGAAATATCAACCGGATTTAATGTGATATTTTTACTAATAAGGACACCAATAGGTAGATTTTATGCAATAATATTTGATAAATTTCTTAACAAAATTTGAATATAAGGACTAAAATAATATTTTTTGAAATTATAGGGACTAAAAATAACAATTTTAAATTTGAGGGACCAAAAACAGAATTACCCTAAATTTGAGGGACTAAAAATATTTTTAAGCTTAAAATTTATAATGAATAATAAATGAACATTTAAATAGGTATTCATGAATAATTTAAATTGATATATTTGTACCTGTTAAATATCTATTATAATAAAATTACTTAAATTTATTTGTTAAAATATATATCATTGGTTAAGTGAAAATATCATATATTACTTAAATTTCTTTTATTTAGACTTGTGAGATTGAAATATTATAATTTCTTAACTTTTATTTTAGTATTGTGGAATTGAATTATTTAATTTATTAAACTTGTTTAAACTTATGAAAATAAAGTAATTTAACAATTAAATTTAGTTTTTAAATTGAAAAATCTTGATTAATAAAATTGTCTATAATATTAAAATAAATTAAATATAAACTTTTAAACTATTATTTTTAAATAAATTATTAAAATAAACAAAAAATTATTATTAAATATTTTTGAAAAAAATTATTTTTTAATAAATATCTACATATATTAAAAATAAATATGTAAATACCCATTTAACGAATAACTGTACAAATATAAAAATATGTAAGAATAAATATTTATTCAACAGAAGATGTAGCAAATAAATACTACCTATACCTTCTCCCACCTTTCAAACGTCCCTAATTCCAATTATTTTAATTGTCCAATCTGAATTAACTTTCACATCCATGTCTATATTCATCCACCACATTAACATTTTCATTAAATATTTAATATCAAGTTATTAATTCACGATAATAAATGACTATTTTATAAATTTTTATAATTTTAAAAGATAGAAACTCAATTAATATTACAAATTATTGTATAAGTCAAAATTATTTTTATTTTCTATAAAAGAAATAGATATGTAGGGTAAAAAAAATAAAGAAACAAATGATTAAAACCCTTTTTAATATTTTTTAATAAAACATATTTATTAAAGAAAACAAAGGTATAATAAATGTCCCTTTCATCCTACAACTAAGCTATCTAATTTTAATATATATATATATATATATATATATATATTATCTAAACAAAAGTAAAGAGAAGAAAAATCGTACTCCTATATCCCATGCTCTAAACCTCTGAAGACCCTTCATCAGCATACACAAAAGTTCGAAAAATGTTTTCTAGAATTTCGTACGTGAAGATAAAATATCATCATGAATTAAAGCTATCTGAAACAACTGAATTTTTACGTCTGTTTTATTGAATCTAGCAACACAGTGCAATAAATAATTTGAATGAATTGAATCGGCTTTAACAAGCAACACTTAATCCATCAAGAATCAATTTCCAAACAATTAGAATATCGAAAAGAATTCAAGAAGTAGAAAGAATTACATAGAGAAAGCATGTAAAGAGAGAACATCAATGACCAACTAACTTCCTCCTCATTGCATGAAATTAGCTAAATACACATTTTTCTTTCTTTTCCTATAGGTTCTCCTTAACTCCAAATTTTCAGGTACTACCACGTGTCTAGCTGCTGTAACTCATTTTGTTACCTCCTTCTCCTTTTCTGCGCTCCCTTCACATGTTACAATACCCTTCCCTTTAATATCAACCTATATCAACCTTGTCCTCAAGGTTAAAACTTGGATAAACCGATTTGATACTCTCCATATCTTCCCAAGTTGCATCTGCCACATTCCACAGAATCAAGACTTTGAGTTTTCTAATGCAAATCCTGCACTATATTTCAAATATCCAACACCTTTAAAGACTGCAACATAGGTCCTTCCTCAGTTGTACTCAAAGGTAAAGGAAAACACTACTGAGTTGAATTTCCATGAAACTTCTTTAACACCGAAATATGAAATACAGGATGTATTCTAGCCATTTCAGGTATAGCTTGAGCTTATAAGCTATTGCTCCCACCCTCTGCACTACTTCAAATGGCCCAAAATTTCGCATTCCCGGCTTCTGATTTCTTGTGACACCCTCTACTCCAACATACATATATAATAATTATAAAAAATATATTCTTGGAGTAAATAAAATCTTTAGAATTGAAACAATGGTTCCACTAGCATAAGAGTAGAGAATTCACATTTATAAACTTAAATCATGGTCAAATGCGGAATTTACAAGAAAATGAAACATGAGTTTTTCCAAAACAAAATAAAAATAGTGAAATCCTACACTAAGCCTAACTATGCCCCGATGTCACATATCCTATCATAGTACACCCAACTGAAGCCTAAGCCTCATCACCAACATCCTCATGTTGATGATCACCTACAACACAATTTAAACACATACAAAGAACAACAAGGGAGTGAGAAACATCTCACTCAGGTTCAGGTGCAGAAATAAAGGTTAGGAAACACACAACAAACATAATACAAGTTATAAGCACAAATCACATATGAACAATACACATACATAATCAGTATCACATGCACACTCATTTATCATGCAATGATGTCAGGGACTTGACTCATAAATGCATGCATGTGGCGCCAATCCCATATCACATACCACATATCACTGGTATGCTGCCTAAACAACACACCTAAGGTAGTTTAGGAGTACATGTAGGGAGCTACCCATACACTCTCAACTAGAAAGATGTACTGCTAGGGTCTGGTTGGGATAGCGAAGCTACACAAGTTACGTCTCGGGCTCACAAACGCACAGAATCGAGACATCCAAACTGCACTATCCCCTAGGACTCCCCCAAGTTATTACACAAGGAGGGCCTTCCCTAACGGTGTACTCCATATCGTACCCGTCACATAGATGCACATGATGCATGTAACACACATTCAGACTTCATGGACTCATCACTTTACTTGTCATGGAACTTCATGACTTATCTCATTTCATCACGTTTCACATTCTCATATTCATAGTGTTCACAATAGCACGTATTTCACATCATATCTCATAAAACACAACACTTATGTTAACATAGTAATAAGGCAATTCGCACACAATTTGCACCATCAAACAAGACATAAAGCAGGTAAAACATCATAGGGATCATGCCCGGCGCGCCCCAACTCGCGTCCGGCGCATTAAATATCGCACTAAAAGCGGAGCATCACGCCCTGCGCGCGCAACGAATTTAATGTCACGCCTAAAGCGGAGAATCCAGCCTGGCGCAGCTTCACACGCGCTCGGTGTGGCTTTCCTGCGCCCAACACAACTTTCCTGAGCCTGGCTTAATTTTCCTGGGAAACTATTAATTTGTGCCCGATGCAAAGAACTGGGCTCGACGGCCTTAGTGCGAACCTACACTTCACAATCAGACGATTTTTCACAACCAACATGTAATCATATTAATCAATCGCTAAAAATCCTCCAAATAACACTTAGAACATAAATCCATACTCAATTTTACATGAAATACCTCAAATATTGTCAAAAGATCATACCCTTAATTGTTTCTAATAGGGTTTCCCACAAGAACCTACAGAGCACTCTAATTCATATCAAAATTTATCTAATTTTGAAATCAAACACATATTCATGCATCAAATCCAACCAAGAACACAACATAAAACTCATACATCAAAACAGAAAACATTCATATTTTGCCTGTTCCTAGAAGCATGCATCAAGCAAGGAATTGGGGGTCAACCCTGCTACCCAACAATTACTCCCACACCCCCGAGTGAGGTTTCTCACTCCCCCTTACCTGGATGAGCAAAAAATGAAGCACAAGCAGAATCTAGTTAGTCTCCTTCTCTT